TGAGAGAGGGGAAGGCAGGGTGAGGGAGAGGAATGAGGAATGAGAGAGGGGAAGGGGGGATGAGGGAGAGGAATGAGGAATGAGAGGAGGGATGGCGGGATGACGGAGAGGAAGGCGAGGAATGAGGAATGGGGGAGGGGAAGGCGGGATGAGGGAGAGGAATCGGGATTGAGAGACGGGAAGGCGGGGTGAGGAAGAGGAATGAGGAATGAGGGAGGGGAAGGCGGGATGAGGGAGAGGAGTGAGGATTGAGAGAGGGGAAGGCGGGGTGAGGGAGAGGAATAAGGAATGAGGGAGGGGAAGGCGGGATGAGGGAGAGGAGTGAGGATTGAGAGAGGGGAAGGAGGGGTGAGGGAGAGGAATGAGGATTGAGAGTCGGGAATGCGGGGTGAGGGAGAGGAATGAGGTATGAGGGAGCGGAAGGCGGGAAGAGGGAGAGGAATGAGGAATGAGGGAGAGAAAGGCGGGATGAGAGAGTGGAATGAGGAATGAGAGAGGGGAAGGCGGGATGAGGGAGAGGAATGAGATACGAGGGAGGAGAAGGCGCGATGAGAGAGTGGAATGAGGATTGAGAGAGGGAAACGCGGGGTGAGGGAGAGGAATGAGGAATGAGGGACGAGAAGGCGGGGTGAGGAAGAGGAATGAGGAATGAGGGAGGGGAAGGCGGGATGAGGGAGAGGAATGAGGAATGAGGGAGGGGAAGGCGAGGTGAGGGAGAAAAATGAGGATTGACAGAGGAAAATGGGGGAAAATAGAGTTGAATTGATTGATTAGGTAAAGAGCCCAAGGCTCTATAAGTACATGGCAAGGTAAAGAAGAATGGATGAAGGGGGAATCAGAGGGAATCCCCATTCGGATGACGAGTGGTATGCCGTCAATGGGACCGCCTCCAAACCGCCAAGCTGGATGGTCAATCGTGCTCCTCGCAAGGTCAATCAAGTCGAAGTGCAGGAATCCGTGCAGGCAGCTGTAGCTCCCACTGTTGATGTGCGCCTCCACATGTTGTTCCCTGGCACTGCCATGATTAATGAGACAATTTTGCAGTGTCCCGGCTCACAAAGCACCTCAACCACAAAAGAGTTCACCCTCGACAGTGGGGCCACTCACACGGTTCTCAAGGAAGAACACTCCTTCAAGCCATACGAGACACCAATCCGTCTACTTGGAGCAGACTCCAGTTTCACAACACACACCAAGGGCTCCTCCACAGTTCCGTGCCCAGCTTTTCCTTCGGGCAGTGTGACAGGCATGTGTGTTCCCATACTACGCCACAATCTCGTGGCCCAACACAAGCTCCAACGGGCAGGCGTCACGATGATCTTCCCAGCACACTCGGATCACTGTGACCTCTTCGACCCTAAGTCCAACAAGCTCCTAGCACGCTTCACACTCAACAGTAGCAAGCTCTACACGCTGCGTTCACCTGCACCTCTCGCCGCCCTCTCCCAAGCGCAAGCTGCCAGCACCACTCAGTGTTCGTGTCGCAGCTTCGCCAACCCAACCATCCTCTACCATCATCGCTTGGGTCACCCCAACTTCCGTATACTTGCCGACGTCGCTTCCAAGAAACTTCTTCTTGACCTCCCGTTGGCGCTTCCTCCACCAACAGACTCGCCTGCACCCACCTGCCTGGACTGCACCTAGAGCAAGCTCAAGCAGCAGTCGCATCCCGAGGCGGTCATCGGTACTTCTTACACTAGTCGATGACCACTCGCGGTATGTTTCTGTGCACCTCCTGCATACCAAGGCGGAGGTACCTGATGTCATCATTGCGTGGGTGCGCCAGGCTCAAGTCACGTTCGGCACTCCTCTGAAGTGCCTCCCTTCTGATGGCGGGGGAGAATTTCGCAATGGCAAACTCGATAACTTCTGTGCGGCCCAAGGGATTCGACAAACCTTCACGCTCCCCGAAAGCCCGTAGCAGAACGGCATTGCAGAGAGCCGCAACCACACCTTGGTTCAGATCGCTCGCTGCCTCCTCAGTCACGCCAACGCACCACGGTCACTCTGGGGATATGCCCTCTTCCATGCGGCACTCCTCTACAATCTTTATCCGCATCCCCACCGGCCCGACACCACACCTACCGCTCCCTGGCTTGGGGTCACGCCTTCCACCCGCTCTCTACGCGTCTGGGGGTGTACCGGATATGTGTTGCTCAGCCCCCACACGCGCAGGAAGCAAGGTGGCAAGCTTGGTCCCAAAACCCAGACCTGCATGTACCTGGGGCACAACTCCGACTCCCCAGACTACTTATTCCTCAACCCAATCACCAGACAGCTGATTCGCAGCCGTGATGTCGTCTTCGATGAGACACGCCCATTCCATTCTGCGACCACGGGCGAGCCTCCTCCACCTCCCCCGACGCTTGTTTGGGCAGACTTCGATGCCCCACCTCCGGCCGCTGCCCCTTCTCCGGGGCCTTCTCCGTCCGGCATGTCTCACCCGGCCTCCCCAGTATCCTCCGCAGCGGCACCTCCTCCTGCTCCGCCTTCCCCGCGCGTCGAGCCCGGCTCACCAGTCTCCTATCGGAGGTGCCCAGTCCCTCCGGTCCCACCGCAGCCGCCTTCTTCTCCGGTCTCTAGTCGCACTCGTTCCAAGGGACCGGCTCCGCCTCGCGCCTGGGGACCAGCCGCCTTCTCCATCCGCTGTACGGTCACCCCGCCTCCTCCTGCCGGGGGTGATGTCCCCTCCATCCGTATTCCCCCCCGTGCACTTCTGGAGGACAGGCATGAGAAGCTGTTTGACCTTCACGCGGTCTGCCGATTTCTCTCTCACATCTTCCCGGACATTACTGACTGCCCTTCCCTCAACTTCACCGAGAACCCGACCATTCCGAATCCTCGCACAAAAGAGGAAGCTCTCTCGGAGCCTTATAAGAAGGAGTGGAAGGCAGCAATGGATGTGGAGAACGAGGCGTTCATTCGCAACAACAGCTTTGACGATGTTGTTCCCCCTTCCGGTGTCAACATCGTCGGCGGAAAATGGATCTTCTGAGTCAAACAACTCCCAGGCGAAGCTCCACTGTTCAAGGCACGATACGTGGCGAAGGGTTTCACCCAGAAGGAGTATCTCGAGTTCTTCGAAACCTTCTCGCCCACGGCCAAGCTCCCGACGGTGCGCGCTCTTCTTGATATAGCCGTCCGCGGCAACTTCGAGATCAAGTCCATGGACGCCTCCTCCGCCTTTCTCCAAGGCCAGCTCAAAGAGGATGTTCACATGGAACGCCCACCGAGGTTTCCTGGCACTTACCCTGCCAACACAGTGTGGAAGCTGAAGCGCCCAGTGTATGGCCTCAAGCAGGCTCCTCGTGAGTGGCACAACAAGGTGAAGGAAGTCCTCCTCGCACTTGACTTCCATCCCTCTGCCTCAGATTCCAGTCTCTTCGTTCGTCACTCCTCCGAGCCCTTCTACATCCTCGTCTACGTCGACGACTTCATTCTAGCCACCAGAGATCCAGCCGACATGGCAGCTGTCCAGTCTGCTCTCAGCTCCGCCCTTCTCATGAAGGATCTTGGTGACCTCAAGAACTACCTGGGGATGGAGATCACTCGTGACCGCCAGGCTTGCACGATCACCCTCTCCCAGGAGTCCTACATCGACAACCTTCTCAAGCGGTTCGACATGGACTCCAGTAACTCTGTCTCCACTCCACTCCCACTACAGCATCAGCTCACGGCCCCTCCAGTTCCTTCTCCTGACGCCTGCAAGGACCCGTACCCTGAGCTAGTCGGTTCACTCATGTATGCCATGATGTGCACTCAACCAGACTTGGCATACCTGGTTAGTGTCCTCTCTCGGTACGTCTCCCCCGGACGCTACACTGCCTCGCATTGGTCTGCAGCCAAAAGGGTCCTCCGCTATCTACAAGCCACCAAGTCTCACATCCTCACTCTTGGTGCTACCTCTCCAGTCAAGCTCGAGGGATACACAGACTCCTCATGGGCCGATAACCAGACTGACAGACGCTCCTCCCAAGGGTACTGCTTCACCCTTGGTAGCGGAGTCATCAGCTGGCGCTCCACTCGGTCCTCTGCAGTCTCCCTGTCGTCTTGCGAGGCCGAGCTCTACGCGGGCACAATGGCTGCTCAAGAGGCACGCTGGCTCTCCTTTCTCCTCGCTGAGTTAGGCTACCCCCAGCAGTCGCCCACCCTGTGGTGTGACAACCAGAGTGCCATTCACCTCACCAAGGATCCTGTGTTCCACTCTCGCACCAAGCACATCGAACTTCGTCATTTCTTCATCCGAGATCTTGTTCAGAGTGACCAGCTGACGGTACGGTACATCGCCTCAGATTGCAACCTCGCCGACCTATTTACCAAGGCTCTCGGCAAGGCTGACCACCATCGCCTTCTCCGTTCCATGGGGCTATTTGCTTCTTGACCGGGTTTGCAGTCTATGGGGGTGTGTTAGAAATAGACTGCAAATACCACTTTTTTATTTGTACTTTTTGTTGGTGCATATTCGTTTGCACGTCATCCTGTCGTCTGTTCGCATCATTTCGTTGCATGTGTTTTGTGTGCTACATTGTTTGTATGGTTTGTTGGGTTTGCATGTCTTTGCATGTTCGTCTTGTGCTTGTGCAGATGTTCTTGGTTTGTGCATGACATCGAGCACATTCCAACGAGCCAAGAATTGTTGGAATCGGAGCACATATGAAGAAGTTATGAAGAAATGTTTGATGGATTTGTTACAACTCATTGGAAGTCCTTGTGAGCTGCTACACCAAAGTTGGAGAGCCCTATAACGAGGAGGGACCAGCATGTGTGGGACTTTTGTCCCCACCCTGCAGCTGCAGCATTTGGGGTTTGGAGGCCAACCTGGTACAGTGTGAATTTTGTCTTGCCAGGCTGGCTGAACCTGAGGATGGGGAGTCAAGACTTTGACTCTTGTCATGTTCTTGACCATGGGCCTCCAGGGTCCTTCCCTTTCATCCTTCCCTTCCATCCCTACCTTCCAACTGTGCTTCAATGCCTTTTCTATCATGCCTCTGAACTTGTAAGCTTTAATCATTGTGACTCTGAGGATTGTCAACTTCTCCTAGGGCAGATTACCCCCCAGTGCGCCAAACGCCATAGCTTGCTAGTTAAGCTACGGAATCGAGTGATTCAACTTTCAGAGGAAAGCTGACGCTGCAATCTACAACATATCTGATTTTCAGATCGTTTCATCGATTGGAGTTTTGGATATAGCTTTTCGAAGGTCGCGAGTTTTCTGGGCGTCATAACGAAGTGCTGCATAAATTTCCAAGGAGCCATTGAATCATCTGCTTATAGCCTTCTCTAAGCAACAAGTGGTATCAGAGCCCATTATCACGCATTTGGGACCTAAAATACGATGGGAGATAAGGAGGACTCTGGTGGAGGTGATACTTCAGTCCAAGGAGGCAGCTCAACCCAAGATTCTGGCATTGCAGCGCAAAGGGGAGCGCATACAAGCCAGGGGTCACTGCTTAAGGAGGTGCTGAAGTGCTTCACCATTGAGAAATTCTCTGGAGATGGCTATGACGATTGGGCATGGAAGATGCAGCTCTACTTTCGACAAATTGGCCTCTTGAAGCTCATGATTGGAACGGAGCCAAGGCCAAAGGAAATGGCAGAGCAAGTGGACTGGATGAACGTTCATCTGCTGGGTATTATCTACTGTCACAAAGCTTGGAGCTGAACCAGAGGCATCACATCATGCATCTGCTACCGGAAATTGATTGTGGGCCCAAGGCATGGGCAGTGCTCAAGGACCTGCACGCTCCGACATCGGTTGCCGCTTCTCTCATGCTGGATCGGGAGCTGTCCATGCTGCGGTTGAGCGAGAATGAACCTGTGCAGCCCGTACTGGACAAGATGAGGGAACTCTACGCGAAATTGGCGATTGCAGGCATCACGTACCCTGAGCAGACTAAGTGTCTCAAGATGCTCAGCCTGCTGCCCGAGTCTTGGCTGCAATTTATAAGCGGACTCAGCTTGCCACAAAACCAAAGTCAATGGACATTGGAGTGGATTCGCACCAAGATTCTGGAAGAAGATTTTCGTCGCTATACACTGCGCGGAGGTGATGACAGCACCAGCGGCTATGCCATGCAAGGGACATGGAGGGATCGAGGGCGTGGCAATCGCGGTCGCTCCTACTACAACCAAGGTGGTCGCGGGACTTGGAACCAGCGGGGGCGTGGTGGCGCTGGTGCAAGAGGAAGAGGTGGTCACTCCAACAATGACAACAGTGAACCACGCTTGAGGGGAGAGTGCTGGTATTGCAAGGAAGAAGGGCATCCATGGTTTCGCTGCTCTACCAAGCCCGACTGGTGGACCCCTTGGAACCAATCGCAAAAGGGGAATGGAGGAAAGCAACCACATGGAGGTGCCAACATGGTAGCTGATCCTGCTGAAGAAACCTCCAAGGATGACAGAGGAATAGGAAATGAGGAGAGGAATGCTGGACAGTTCTACCATGTGTGTGACAAAGATGACAGTGGCACAGCTGTTGCAAGGGCTGGAGAGGAACTGCACCCGCTTGATATGTGGGTCATGGACTCTGGTGCTGCATGGACAATGATACTACGCAAGGACTTGCTGGATGCTGTGCGAGCGCCTCCAATCTCCGAAGTGCGCTCAGCATCCGGACATGCAGTGAAGGTCGCTGGAGTTGGTCGAGCTGCATTCAGAGCACCTGATGGTGGACTGGTCGTGCTTAAGGACGTGTTACTCGTACTGGGGCTGAAGGCCAATCTGATATCGCTGCGCAAGCTAGGCCAGGCCGGAGTCAGCACCACCACCAATGGATCCAAAACATTCAAGGGGCTGCGAGGAGATCGTGTGTTATGGGATTTACACGAAAGCAGAGATGTCTTCAGATCCATGTGGCAGATCCCTGCACTGATATGGGAATCAACAAAGAAGGAGTTGGGAGCAGTAAAGGCGGGATCTGGAGTCCAGGGGGAGTGCAATGCAGTTAGTGCTGCAGGAGTGACGGTTTCTGCACGGTCGGGGGAGACTGATTGGGAAACCGCACACATGCGTCTAGGGCATGTGGCTATGCCATTGCTGCAGCAACTGCATAAGGAAGAAGCAGTAAAGGGGCTGAAGCTTTCTGGGCAACCAAATGATACCAAGTGCGAGACGTGTCTGCTGAGCAAGTTCACACGGTTCCCCTTTCACGGCGTAGCTGGGAAAAGCAAGGCAGCACTGGAACTGGTGCACATGGACCTGGTAGGACCTTTTCCAGTTCGAGGAAGTAAGGGGGAAAGGTACTTCCTGACAATAGTTGATGACTGGAGTCGGCTGATGTGGGCATACCCGTTGAAGCAGAAGGATCATGCTGCCTCAACAATACGAGATAACTGGCTGCCGTTCGTCGAGCGACAATCTGGGCACCCATGCAAGAGCATCAGAACCGACCGAGGTGGAGAGTTTCTAGGAGGAGATCTGACTGCGTGGCTCAAGAAACAAGGCATTGAGCATCAGCTAACGACGTCCTATACCCCTCAGTCAAATGGCGTTGCTGAGAGGGCTAATAGGACCATCCTGGAAACTGCGCGAGCGCTGCTGATCGAATCAGGGCTGGGGAACTCCATGTGGCCTCATGCGGTGAGGCATGCTACAGTGGCAAGGAACCGCGTACTCACAAAGGTGGCTGATGATATGTGGGTGCCGCTGGAGAGGTGGCTTGGAAAGAAGCCTCCAGTGGACATGCTCAGAGTGTTCGGATGCATGGCAGTGGCGCATGTCCCTAAACCGTACAGGACAAAGCTTGGAGCATCTGCACTATGGTGTGTGCACCTTGGACTTGCGGCAGAGAGCAAGGGGTGGCTACTCTGGGAGCCCTCGAAGAATGTGCTGTTTGACAGTCGGGATGTCAAATTTGTGGAGAACATCATGTATGGCAAGTGGGAGAAGCAGCCGGAGGCAAGGGTCACCCAGCAGCTGGAAGAGATCACTATGCACTTCGATTTGTCCGAACCTGAGGACAGCGAAGTCACTGCGCCAACGGCAAGCGGTACTGATGAAGGAAGCAATGAGGATATTGCAGCTGATGCTGAAGTCAAGGATCCGGAGCAGCAGCAGCAAGAGGCTTCCAAAACACCAAGTCTGCCAAAGCGAAGGAAACAGATTGGTGGGGGGACAAAGGATTGGGTGAAGGTGAAAGAATGGGTAAATCCAACCATCTACCCTGCACGTACCAGAATGGCAACGAGAAAGCTGCTGAGCTCTACAAGTGGAGGAGCCACAACTGAGCAGCAGGAACAGGCTCAAGGCGAAGATGCAGTGCTGTTCTTGGGTGATGACCAAGAGTCAGATGACGAGGAGCCTGCATACTGCTTTTACGCACCAATACAACCTCCGAGCATGGATCATGCGCTAGCCGGGCCTCAACGGGGGAAGTGGCTCGTTTCAAGAGATGCAGAGTACAACAGCCAGATGGAGAATCACACATGGGACCTGGTGTACTTGCCAAATGGGAAGAAGGCAATACAGTGCAAGTGGCTGGCAAAAATCAAGACGGATGAGAAAGGAGAGCCATCAGTTTACAAGAGCAGGCTGGTGGCAAAGGGGTTTCAGCAGAAAGAGAAAGAAGATTACAAAGAAGTGTTTGCCCCAACTGCTAAGTCTCCAACGCTACGTGTGCTGCTGGCGGTAGCTGCTGTGCGTAAATGGAAGGTGAAGCAGATGGACATCGTAACCGCTTTTCTGTACGGCATTGTGGAAGAGGAGGTGTACATGGTTCAACCACCTGGCTATGAGGATGGAACCGGTCGTGTCTGCAAACTTAACAAGGCCATCTATGGCTTGAAGCAGGCCCCGAGATGCTGGTACAACAGGCTGGCCAGTGCACTGGAAGGGATTGGAAGCCGTGCGAGTGCATGCGACGAGAGCCTATTCCTGATGGGCGAGGGGGAGTCGCTTGTGCTTCTGCTGGTGTACGTGGATGACATCCTGCTCTTCAGCAGCAGTGACAAGGAGATCGATGGGGTGCAGCGGAAGCTCACAGAGCAGTTCAAGTGCAAGTCACTTGGAGAGGCAAGGTACTACCTGGGAATGCACATTGAGCGGGATACTGAACGTGGCTGGCTCAAACTGCATCAGGGACAGTACATCAACACCTTGGCTGAGAAGTACTCTCTGCAGGAAGAACGGGAAGTGGTACACCTTTGCCTTCCGAGTTCAAACTCATAAAGGCAGCTGAAGGAGAAGGAGTTGAGAGTGAAGACCAGAGGCAATTCCAATCCATGGTCGGGAGCCTACTCTACGCTGCTGTGCATACTCGGCCTGACATCAGCTTTGCTGTGGGACAGCTGGCTCGAGTAGTGCAAAATCCAACAGAAGAGCAGTGTGGTGCAGCGGAGAGAGTGGTGCGCTACCTCAAGTCATACCCTACAGTGGGAGTACAGTATTCAGCCTCTGCTCAACTCAGGCAAAAAGGAGTTGAAGTCTCAAGAGAAGGGGGAGCAGCTCGGAGAAGGAAAGGTGTTCCTTTCCTGTTTTGCTGATGCCACGTGGGCTTCTGAGCATGAGGATTCATCATCAGTTGGTGGATACATCTGCATGGTGGGAGGTGGGCCTGTAAGTTGGAGGTCCAAGAAGCAGTCTGAGACGGCACTATCTTCAGTGGAATCTGAGTACATGGCGATGTTTCATGCGGCAAAAGAAATCATCTGGCTAAGGAGGCTCTTGAAGGAGATCGGCCATGAACAGACTTGTGCGACACCTCTGTTCAGTGATAGCAAGGGAGCCATTGCCATGGCACGCAATGCAGTTCTTCATGGGTTGAACAAGCACATGAGGATCAAGTGGCATTGGCTGCGGAAGGAGGTGAAGCTTGGGACACTGGATCCGATCTACGTGAAAACTCAGCAACAGCCAGCCGACTTCCTTACCAAGCGGCTAGCTGAAGAGCCACACTGGCGCTGTGCGAGGATGGCGGGAATGTCCTTGAACTAGAGACGGCGAAACAAGCCGACAGTCTGAGGGGGAGTGTGTTGGTGCATATTCGTTTGCACGTCATCCTGTCGTCTGTTCGCATCATTTCGTTGCATGTGTTTTGTGTGCTACGTTGTTTGTATGGTTTGTTGGGTTTGCATGTCTTTGCATGTTCATCTTGTGCTTGTGCAGATGTGCTTGGATTGTGCATGACATCGAGCACATTCCAACGAGCCAAGAATTGTTGGAATCGGAGCACATATGAAGAATATGAAGAAAATGTTTG